ACCCTTTGTGTTATTTGTCCGGCCAACTAGGAGCACTTTTTTGTGCATGATTTTTGCCAGTCCAGTCTCCAGCCCAAACATACCTCGAAAAGTTGCAGCACACAACAACAAAAAAAGACTCTCTTGAGGGCACACACACGTACACGCCCGAAAAACTGAAGCTGCAGTTGGAGTTAGAGTTAGAGTTGGAGCCGAAGCTGAATGACCCGAATGAAAATGCTGGCCCTGGCATATTTTTATGCCGCAAGCATGCAGGACAAATGGCTGAAATTTTTGCGCTCCTGATGAGAGTGAGAGACGCGCAGAAAGGGACCATCCGTGGCTGGCTGGCCTTGGGCAGCGGCGGCTGCAGTTAGTTTTCGACATGTGTACGTGGCCCGCCATCAGCAGCCACTGGGCATGCACTGAGTACCAGGCAAAAAAAACTCATTTCTCCTCACGGATCTGCTCTGCCTTTCCGAATCCCCTTCCCCCCCATCCTCTCGCATAGTTTGCCGCTCTGACATAGTTGCAGCCCAAAAAGTCCAGCTTCCTTGTTCGGTCTGGGTCTGGAGGGGATAGGGGGGAGAGGTTACATATATATGTGGAGAAATTGAACAAGTCGTTTGTCGGGCTGTTCTAGGAATTTATGTGTGCAGGGAGCGCGTCGTCGTTGGTCGTTGGTCGTTGGTCGTTGCTGGTCGAGTTGAAAATTAAACATTGCGTATACGCCTAGGTGCATAATAATTCATGCCTGGGAGACCAGCGCACAGGCACAGGCCCAGGCCCATTGCTCACCAGGCGACTGCAAAACGAAATTGTGTGTAAAATGTTTTAATATGAGCTCATAATATATGAGGCAAGAGGCACGTGGCAGTGGGCAGTGGGCAGTGGGCAGTGGGCAGTGGACACCGCAGCTCAATTTGTGATTTATAGACAGAGCCCGGGCCATGGGCCAACCACTCGGTTATTGAAAGAGTCTTCTGCACGGCTCGCAAGTGTTGTTCTTCTGCTGTTGCTGCTGCAGTTGGAAAACCAAAGGCCATGAAATTTTATTGTTTAGTTTGGAGGTTGCTGCTGCTGCTGCTGCTGCTGCTGCTGCTGGTCAAGGCGTGCGATTTGGGATGCTGCCGGATATCCTGTGGCCGTGCACATTGCCCCAGCAATTGAATTTACATTTTGTTGTGCCTAAAAAATACACAAAAATACAAAACAGCCCAAGCAAGCGAACAGTTTTTGCATGCAAGCTTTTTGTTGTCATTTCTCTCCCGCTCTCTTTCTGTTATTTCTGGCATTTTGTTGTAATTGAGCTGGAAGGTTGTTTGCATTGCTGAAGGACATTCCACATTCAGGCACAGCAATAATACAATTCTATGATGTTTACACGCTGCTGCCACTCGAAGCGTGGCTCCTGAATGTTTTAAAGCCACATCCTGCTCCGAAATGGAAGCAAATTCAATCAGGAACTGAGCTAATTATAATCTGCACAAATCCCTCCCCGCACACAAAACTCAAAACCCAAAGCACACAGCCACAGCTCTGATTTGGCTTTGTTTCCTGCACACCGCACATTTAGCAGTTAGTTTCGATTACCGAACTGGCCAGCTCATGTGGTTTGGCCATTTTTTGTTTGGGTTCAGGTTCGTGGTTCGTGGCAATGCTGAAAAATCAATTATGCCCTGGCCTGGCATTTAATTAAATATTGTTGCCACTTTTTGCCTGCATATTAACGCAATTATTGCAAGGGGGGAGTAGCCATGCACGGGGCTTAGGCACATTTTGATATATGCATATTCAATATTTTTTTAAGCCAATATAAAGCACAGCGAGGGGGAGCATGCCTGCTGTTGCCACTGGGTTGGGGTTTGGGTGGCAGGAGCAATGCAATTGTGAAGCGTTTTGCAAATATTTTAGCACTTTTAAATAAATACATGCCGCCAGGCAGCTCTGCACTTTGGCGCTCAATTTATGGCTGGCAAAAGTTAAAACGAAAGCGAAGCCCGACAAAAAAAACCGTGCCATTCGTCGGTGAATTGGGAATGGGAATGGGAATGACACGGCTGCCGTTCCGTGTGTGTGTTTGTGTCCACGTTGCCAAATTCAAATATTTATTTGAAATTTTTACTACGCCAAAAACCATGCCGTTCTGGTTGGTGGAGGTGGAGCTACCGTGGTAAGTAAGCTTGAGCCATAACATTTACGATCAATCTACATTAAATCTTGATTAAAGTTTCATCATAGATTATGGCAGCATAATTCATATTCTTATCAGCAAGTGTTTCAGTCTTCATTGAAAGCTTTCACATCGGACATGTATCAGTTTGCCGTCTCAGCCAACTCAAGTCTCTCTGGCTAAGCCCAAGGCCGAGCCCTTCATTAGCCTTTAGTCCAGTCTGTGTACCAGTGTACCAGTGTCCAGTCCCCAGTGTCCAAGAGCCCTTGTCCAATGTGTCATTGACATGCCACGAAAGTAAAAGCCAAAAGTCAACAGCCAATCGGACGCTGCGCGAAGGTTCCGCTCCGAGGACCAATGTGTGAATGTCCCTGTCCCTATGCAATCTGTGTGCAATATTCCACAAACTGCCGTTAATTACACAAATGCAAAAGTCTGTTGTGCGACCGAAATTGGTCGGTAATAAATAAATTCAATTGAATAATTTATTTAATTTATTTTCGGCTGCTGCTGCTGCCTGGCTGGCTGGCGCGTGACATAAAAAGCAGCAAAACAAACAAAATTTGTTTTTATTTTTTGCGCGCTGTCGCCGTGCGTGTGGCAGGTGGCACCGGCTGCGGAAGTGTGCAGCAAGCTGACATCGCGAGGTGTTAGAATTTGGTGCAGGCCCAAAAAAAAAAAATAATAATAAAGAGAGGAAATAAATTGTAGAAAAAACAGGCAAAATGTGTGTCTGTGTGTGTGGCACAGGCCAAGTGAATTTTTGTGGCACGAAAACAAATCGTTTAATTGGCTTAAGCAAAACGTAACCATTGCCCGATTATATAACCATCCGCGGCCCGCAGTCCGCAGTCCGCGGCCCAACAATGATGTTGACAGTCGCCGTTGGCGTTGGCAGCGGCAGCGGCAGCGGCAGCGACGCTTTCAGCAGCTTCAGCTTCAGGCTCAAACCTGTTTGCTGCTGCTGCTGCTGCGACGACAACTGCTTCACTTAACCGTTTTGTTTTCTTTCCTTTTTTTTTTTTAAGAGCAAACTGACGCAAGGGTACGGGTACCACCAGGCAGCAGCCAGCAGCCAGCAGCCAGCACCACAGATCAAGCCCCACACAGCAGCAGTCACCAAGTGTCATGGAGCCAGAGCAACAACGGGTTTGGCGTGTTATATTATTCACTCTGGTTCCACCTATATCTAGAGCCCACCTTCGGCATCGGCTGTGGCTTTGGGGGGGTATATAACTAATATGGAAAATCTTGGCCGGACTTAGTCGCTTGCCTCAGTTTGCCTGAACATGAAATCTTTCACTCTACTGCTGATTGTCGCTGCCATCGCCGTGTCCCAGGTCAGTGCTCATTGGCGTTGCCCGCGACACCCACCTAACCTTCTCTTACTTCCTGCAGACATCGGCCAAGTTCCAGCTGCGCACGCACGACGATGCGGTTAGGGCCTTTGAGGATTGCCGTGAGGACAATCACGTGCCGGACGACATCTACGAGAAGTTCCTGAACTACGAGTTCCCCGCACATCGTCGCACCAGCTGCTTCGTCAAGTGTTGGGTGGAGAAGATGGGTCTGTTCACGGCGTCTAAGGGCTTCGATGAGAAGGCCATGATCAAGCAGTTCACGGTGAAGACGCCCAAGGATCTGGACACGGTGCAGCATGGCCTGGAGAAGTGCATCGATCACAACGAGGCAGAGTCCGATGTGTGCACCTTTGCGAACCGCGTCTTCTCCTGCTGGCTGCCCATCAATCGCCATGTGGTGCGCAAGGTCTACGCCTGAGAGAGAGAGAGTTATAATCCCCCCCCTCATGTGATTTTTTAGTTGAGTTTCTTTTTGGTTTTAAATACATTCTGTACGGAACTGACCTAGCTTCATGTTCTGTGCATTCACACACTGTAGTGTTTGTTCTGTCATTCATTGAGACTTAATCGCGCGGCTGATAACCTTCCCTCCACCTCCACTGGTGCAGCAGCAGCAGCTGATCGATTGGGTTCTCCGCTGATAGCCGGGAGTTCTCGCAGTCGCAGTCAGTTTACATTGTGCATTCTCCCCAGCCAGATGATCGCCTTGTGGATTGTTCCTACGTGCGTGCTGCTCGCCAGCAGCTTGGTACTTAGCCCCAGCCTAGCCAAGACTTTCCCCCACTTATTCCCACTTTCCTCAGGCCCTAGCAGACCTTGCAGCTGAAGCCAAATTGCTGGAGAGTTGTCTGCGGAAAGTCAGCAGCCCGGAGCGCATTGCCAGCGATCTGCAGCAGCTGGAACGCTATCCGGAGTGGACACGCGAGGAGGTGCCCTGCCTGATGCGTTGTCTGGCCAGCGAGAAGGGCTGGTTCGACATCGGCAAGAACCGTTGGCAGGGTAAGCGACTGACCGATGACCTGGGCGCCGATGTCTACAATTACTGCAGGTTCGAGCTGATGCGCAAGTCGCGGGATGGCTGCAGCTTCGCGTACCGCGGACTGCGCTGCCTCAAGCAGGCGGAGCTGCACGCCGGCACCAGCCTCAGCACGCTGCTGCACTGCTCCCGCTCGCTGAATGCCACCAATGTGGAGCTGCTGCAGTACAATAAACTGAAGGAAAAGGAGCCCATTCCATGCCTGTTTCAGTGCTTCGCGGATGCCAAGGGCTTCTACGATGCGACGGGCAACTGGCGGCTGCTCAACTGGCAGCAGGCCTTTGGCCCCAGTCAGACGCAGGAGCCAGTGGACTTTAGCGAGTGTCGCCGCAGCGATAAGCAGCGGCAGGAAGCGGCCAGCAAGTGCGCCTGGATGTACGAGGAGTACAAGTGCTGGGAGCGACTCAATGGGAACGGGGGAGACTTCGGGGAGGAGAGCAAAGAGACACAGTTATAAAGTCACTTGTATTGGCACACAAAGCAAATGCATTTTGTTTCTAAACAGCCATGACGTAGCACGTGAACTGCTGGTAGATGGTGGAGCATTGGTTCCTGCCACGGCGCTGGTGGCACGCGGCCACTTGAGCTCCTTGGGCGGGCACGGCCAAGTGTCGCCGCATTGTGGGCAGCTGCCAGCGGCGGGTGCGCTCGTCGAACAGATGCAACTTGGAGATGAAGCAGCGGGTGAAGCAGGGTATGGGCTCGTTGACGGGGAAGTCGGGATAGGCCTGGAAGCGACTCCACTCGTCGCGATGCACCAGCTGCAGGCAGTCCTTCATGGCCGTCTTGGTGGACTCCGAGATGTTGGGCATGCTCTCGATTTGCATGAATGGATGACCCTCCAGCTGCGTGCGAGTGTTTCGATGGGATCAGTGTTCTATCAGTAAATGGGTTCACTGGACCCCGCGCTTATCGCTTATCGCTTATCGCCTCTACTCACATTGGTGATGCAGTGAAAGCCCGCGTAGGCATGCTCACAGCTGCTCTCGCTGCGACCCGCGCTCAGCTCTAATCTCTGGCGACAGGCATTGTAGACGGGGCGGCCAAAGAGCTGCACCACGCCGCCCTCGTCGAAGCCCGTGCGATTGTCGTAGAAGTCGAACATCTCGCTGAGGTAGCACTGCGTGAAGCAGGGTATTTCCTCATAGCCATCCGACCACTCCTTGAAGCGCTCCAGCCGCTCAGCCGTCTCGGGTGTGAGCCCGCCATAGTTCTTGATGCACTTTTCAATGGTCTCCGTTTCGTGGTTGAGCAACGCTTGGCTCTCAAGCTGCAAGCGGAAGTAAATGTAATGCTGGAATGTTCTTTTTGAGCTGCTGACTTACCACTCCTAGACACAGGCCGAGTGCCAGCAGACACCACATTTGCAGCAACATTTTCTTGGCTTTCCTTCACGTTCCGCGACCGCTGGAATACTGAACCACTGGCAAAAATCCCACCCAACACATTAAGATCTCGCATGGTTCTAGTCGCTAGTTGCTCCGATCATTGATAACCCAGTTTTTTGGCTAGCTCAAGTTCAATCCAACAGCTTCCGAGTGGTGCTGCTGCTGATAACGAGCCTGCCGCACTATCAACTATTGAAGCTTGGCGCTTGGTTCAAGTTTAGGTCTCGCTTGCGCAAAAGAATCTCAAAGCGATTGTCGCACACCTAGTGGTTGGCACTTACGCAACTCCAAGCCGATGTCCAGTTGCATTGAAGCAGTGCCAAGCTAAAGCAGTGCCCAGCTAAAGCAGTGCCACGCAAAGCAGTGCTGGCTGTTGCTTTTGAGTGTTTGCTAATTGATTTTTGGGTTTTTATTTTGGCATTTTGCCCGTCCACTTGTCAGGCTTTTAATAATGGTAGTTGTTGTGGTTGCTGTAAAGGAGCGACATCGTCTCGTCTCGTCTCGTCCCACTTTACGCATTTCTGAGCAACCGGATTCGCGGCGCACCATCGAGCGTGAGCAAAACGTGTTTAACATGTCGCAGTTTTGCTTCTGCTCATCATCAGCAGCAGCAGCAGCAGCAGCAGGCCCAAAGATATCTTCACCGCAATTGCACGTTTAGTTCAGAAAAATAACTTCAAAGTGGTTCTGCCAGATTGGCGCAACAATCTCCAGCAACTATTTGCCACTTCCACGAATCGACAGATTCGACTGGCCACGTTTCCCCTTCCCCACTTCCCACTTCCCACTCTGAACAAAGATTCCACAATTTCTTCGCAGTGACCTTGGCTCGTTTTCTTGCGTGTTTGGCCGGTACAAATTATAAATCCAGTTTTCGATTTCCTCCTCTCTTCTTTCACTCAGTCGGGGACGGAACGGAACGGAACGGGACGGCTCTGAACTGGGACTGTTGTCAATTTGTACAAATTTTCGTTATATAGTTAATTGTTTTTTCCTCCTCAGTGTTTGTTGTTGTTGCCAAACGGCTTTCGTGTCGCCACGCAGTGGTCGTCGGCGGTGGGGCAACGTTGTTGATGACAACGATGACGACACAGCATCCACACACAGTCCGGTCCGGTCTGGTGGGCTCGGGTCCGGACTGGTCTGGTCTGGAGATGCTGCACTGCCTGCACTGCTTGACGGCACTGCCTGACCTTTGGCAATTTAAAATGCAACAACCCGGGGCCTGCAGCAACAGCCTGGCTGGGTTGTTTGTGCCTTTTAAAATCCGATTTCAAAACGATCATCCCCGGGCAGCATTTAGCATTTTCATTGGGGCTTAACATAGATTTGAATACACTTTGTTGGCTGCGTCTCTGAGTCGCTCTCTTCCCCTTTTGTGACTGAATTTATGGATAGGAGTTGGACATTTTTCAACGTTTCTTTTGTGTGTATAAGTTTCAAGGTTATAACCCAGTTTTTGCCAGGGTGCGTTCGTTTTTTTTTTGTTTTTGGCACAACAGTGTTTTATGGTGGGAAAGAAACTGGAACTAAAATCGAATTCGAATTCGATTCGATGGGATTGGTGCGTGTTCAATACATTAATGAAACTGCAAGCAAGTCTTTTGATAAACGCGAAAAAGCGACTCAAAAGATACTAAAAGATGCTCCGATAACAATGGACAATGGACGCTGTCCTTGACTCAGTTGACCGTTGGCCGTTGCCCGTTGGCCGTTGGCAGGACAGGACACGGCAGCTGGTTTTAATGACATTTACAAATTGGTTGTGGCATCTGTCGCTCTTGCGGCTCTGCTGGCCACTCCAAATATAATTAAAATCCCATCAAACTTATCTTGTGCAATTTTTGGCACATTTCGCATGCAAATCAAAAATCCACTTAACGGGCTAGCAGCTGCGTGGGGGGGGGGAGGAGTGTACGGACCATCTTCAAATGTTTATAATTAAAAATACATCTACGCAGCATGTGGATTTAATGTGTGTGTGTCCATTGTACTTAAGACAATGCCTAGCCGAAAATCGAAAGTCAGCCCCAAGCCAAGAGGCAGTGTGGGTGGTGGTTGGGCGGGAAAACTGGCTGCCTGCCTGCCTGCCTGCCATTCAGCTATATTGTTAAAGTCAACAACCTGTGCGTGTTTGTTGCCTTCAAATTTGGTGCAAAATATATCCATCCAACTCATTAGCTTGGCAGCTTCGTTAGTTGCGAATTAATTATGCAGATGTATTCATTGTATTGCGATTTCAAGTGTGGTAAAATGCAGCCTGGGCATGGCCTAATGGAGGTGTGGACCACGCTCACACACAACCACAACACACAACACACAACGATGATGACTATGATGACTATGATGATTATGATTATGATGATAACGTTGGGCTGGGGCGTTGGCTGTGCTCAATTTTCGGGCACACCAAAGTGCCTGCCCAAGTGCCTGCCTTTCTGTTTGTGTTTGTTGATGATTTTCCAACTTTCGATCTTTACAAATTAATCCGAAAATCGCTTAAGCTTCCTGCCTCGAGTGAAGCGTTAACTAAGTAAGCACTTTTCAGACCACATTTTGATGTGTATTTTGAAAGTAAATTTCTCTGATCATTGACCTCGGACACTGTTGCGGTTGCGTGTAATCGGGGCCTGCCACTTTGTTGGAGGGATTACGTAAATCCGAAATTAGTTACTAAATGAGAAAACTGTGAACTGTGAAATGAGAAATGAGCAAATAGTATTGTTCAATCTGTCGCTGCATAAAACGCTCAGCTGCTGCAGTGCCAGGTGCAGTCACCGTTTAGGGAGCCCCACAAGAAGGGCTTTAAATATTTATTTGGTAATTCATTTTACTAATAATTGTCAAAAAAGGTATGGGGAAAGTTTATACAATTTTAGTTCGTTTGAAAATAAACATTTTGCACAATTTTAAGCTCCCATTTGAGGGTCAACGCTTAAGCTTCAACGGATCGTTAAACAAACAAAAATAACATTTGGTTTCCTCAATATTTGCTTAGCGAAATAATGTGGCTACCATCCGGCAGCTGGATTTATCAGCTGGAAATCAGATAAGCTGCTCTGAAGCTTAATGAGACTTTGATAAATCTGCTCTCAGGCAGCGCCAATGGAGCTGCCTCTAGCTGCTGCTATTTCTCACTCTAGAACAAATCCTGATACACTTTGTGTAGGTCACGCCAGTGAAAGACCTTGCTGATAGTCGCATAACTAAAGCATTTGCATTTAGCCTTAGTTTATGTTATACATTTAGAGGCAAACGCAATCGCTGCCTGCACCTTCACGTATGACACTTGGCCTTCCCATGCCACCCACACATGTGGGTCAGGCGGCTAATGCACATGGCTGGAATGCTCATAATTAATTGTAAAACCGTTCTAACGGCAGTTGTGCGTCACAAACGAAAGATTCCAGTCACGAACCGAAGTCAGCGACAACTTACCGTTTGCCGAAATGGCGAGTGCAGTTTCGGGCCAAGAACTTGTTGCCTCGCCAAATGCGACAGACTAAAGCTGATCGCTGTGAATGGGAGAAACACAATAAATGGCATGCACTTACCACGTGTGGTGGCAGACACGGAGGTGTGGCAGGGGGAATGCAGAGCGTTGGACCAGGCCAAACCACTTTTCTTCCGCGTTGCACATGGCGATGGCGATGGCGGCGCCGCTTATGTCGGCCGCACCCACCCACAAATGGGTCTACAAAAATCAACAATTAACACCCGTTCACAATCTCCGGCGTTTTCTCTGATGCAATTTTTGCATTTTTCAAATGCTTTCAAAATATTTTTAATTTAATGCCGCTGGCTGCTGGCTGCTGGCTGCTGTGTGGCTTTGGCGTCTTCGTCGCTTTGGTCAGCGCTCAAATTATCGGGCTAAGAATTTGTGTTCTCTGATTTTTGGCATAATTTGGCATTCAATTTGATTGCAACGCCTCGTCGGCTGACTGGCAGGCTGTGGCCGCTGCTGCACTCCCTGAAAATGCCAGAGAGCCAAAAATGTAAACGAATCCATAACAAGCCGCACACGGCTGACAGCTGCACGGCACGAAAAACACGTTTCCACAGCCAGAGGAAACCAACCCTAAAAGAATACCAATCCGGGCATTTTGGCTACTGAAACAAAAGCAAAAAGCAACAACTAATGTGAGCAACTGTGGCTGAGGCTCTCCTCTCTCCCCAATCTGTAGCCGCAAAATGGAACGACGCCGAACGGCAGTGGGGCGGGCCAGCGGGGGCTATTGAAAGCGAAAGCATAACTGACAAGGTGGCTTAGTTGGTAGTTTGTATCTGCAGTTTGTATCTGTAGTTGTGGCTGCTGTTGCTTTTGCACTTCTAAAACTGGTTGGGCTGTCTGGACGACATGTAGGCAGTGGCTGGCAGGCGGGCAGGCGGGCAGGCCAAGTCTTCTAGCCTCCACTTCAATAACAAAACGCAACTCGACTGGACTGCAATCTGAACTCAAGTCAGCTGTAATTGTTCTGCGGCTCTGCGAGCGACTCTTGGCTGTAATTTCATATTCTTCCTGCATTCCGAAACCTTGAATCACATTTCTTGCATTTAATTGCGAACAATTTTTTTTTCGAGATATTTTTTTGTGTTGCCTCTTGAAGGCGCCGTTGAGTGGCTGCCGTTGACCGCCGCGCTGGGGCTGGGTCAGTTTTAATAGCTGCAGTTGTTGTTGTTGTTGTTGTTGCTGCTGCTGCCACTGCAACACTTCCATTGCAACAACAGCAACTGGCTGGCCTACCTTTTACTTGCACGCATCGAATGAACGAACGGGGCTTGGGCTGGGGCTGCTGGCTGGCTGGCTGGCTGGCTGGCTGGTCTGTCTGTGTGCGTTGACTATGACGATGACGGCCTGTTTTAAATGCCATCCAGTCGAGTGGAGTGGCTCTCGTTGTTAGTTTATTTGTTTACACTTATGTGCATGTGTAGTGACATTCCGGGGGAATGGAGACGGAGACCCGTACCGGTTGACCATCGCATTGCATTTCACATTAAGAAATCATGGAAATTGTTTTGATTAACTTTTAATAAGCCGCAATCTATGGATGGAGCGGGGGCAGCAGAGCCCGAGCAATTGGCTAGATCAGACGGCAACATGCCACGAGCATGACTCACTGCGACAGAGACACTGCTGAAGCTGCAAGCCAATAAGGTGAAGTTCAGCTATGAATCTGTTATTTCGGCATTGTCTTTGGCTTGGCTGACAGATGCCGAGCCCTGAGTTATAATTAGCTGCAGAGATACAAATTGAATGCTACAAAGTACATAGTTGTGGCCCACACAAATACACTCACAGACACACTCACAAACTCCCATTCGAATTGAACTTTCAGGCAAAAATTCCATGCGCAACCCCCACCTTAAAACAAATCCATAAAAAAATAATAAAGAAAAGTAAAAAATGCAAAACGCAAGCAGCAAAAGTAAAACGAAAAAACAGACAAGAAGAGAAGTGAGAAGTGGAGTTGTGCCGAATATTTGATGCCCTTTATGCAGTAATTTCTGATTTTTAAGGAATTAAAATTAATCTTGGCGATTATTTTAATGATCCAAAAGTGCATAAAAATGTATTTTAAGATGCTAATTAAAACTCTACTTCCCTCTCTGTCTCACATTCATTTACTCAAAGCCACAACACCCTTTGGTAGGGCAGTAAAAAGAGCAAGCAGATCAATTGACAAATGGTTTGGGCCACAACAATGGTCGCGCAGCTTGGCGCTGCTGACTGCGCTGCCAGCCGACACTTTGCCCAGCCTGCATACAAAACAAGCAGCAAATACTGTTAAAAGTCGTTTACAACAGAGAGAGAGAGAGAGGGAGAGCGAGAGAGAGCGAAGTAATGAGAGACAATGCATTAGAGGGAGCGCAATATGGCGTGGCTCTGGCCTACACAAAGCTGACTGCTATGAGGCCAGCCCAAGCGCTGTACCGTTGCAATGTCAGTGGACGTGACGCAGCCGCTGTCTCTGCCGCTGCTGCTGCTCTGCTCTGCTGCTGCTAGTCTGCTTGTCTGCTAGTGAGCTGCTCTGCCGACGCCAACGTCTGGATTGTTCGCGGCGTGCGCGCATGCGCAGCGGTATAAAAAGCTCCCGCACCAGCCAGCCAGCCACACACAGTCCAAGTCGTTCGGTCCCGCTGTCACATTTATATTTGTTCATTCAAGTGCGGTTACGTTTCGTCGCCAGCAGCAGCAGCAGCAACAACAAGCTTATCAGAGAGCAAAAACCATCAAATCGATCGCAAAATGAAGAAGTTTTTCGTTGTGTTTGTTGCATTATTCGGAGCCGGTATGTATCTATTGCTAGCTTATGTCAACTGAGAGATCAAGTAGGGAAAGGTGCTGAGGTGCAGCCTAAAAGTTGTTCCGCTTGCGCAACACGAAGGACATTCGAGTGGCAGCAGCAGCAGCAGCAGCAGCAAGCAGTGTTGAAAAGTGTACAAATCGAGAGTGTGATTGAATGTTTTTAAGAGCTCTTTGCTGCTGCGCTTGTGCAACGAGTAAATCAACTATCTCCCATTTTGCTGCTGCTGCTCCAATTTTATCCGCGGAGTAGCAGGGGGCACGGCGCACAGCCAAAAGCAATGAAAATGAGAAAAAAAAGGAAAAGGAAAAGGAAAATGAAAAGCAAAAGCAAAACCCAGAGGGAAATGTAATTGAGCAAAGCAAAGCCCAGCCCCGAGACCGTGCCGAACTCGAACCCGAACCCGAACCCGACACGTTGGCTTGCATTTGCACACACAAACAAAGATGCAGACAGATACAGACACCGAGATACAGTTACGGAGCGTACCTGTGTGTCTCTGTCTATCTCAAATGAGTATCTATTGGGTTTGCTTCGATTTCATTACCTCATCGGCGACGCCTTAAAAAGTGGGAGAAGTTACAACAGAGGCACAGACAGACGATCGCTGGTTCGGCTTCGATGCAGCTCTGCAGTTTTGCAACTTCAATGCTGGCGTAATGCCTGTGCAAATGATATTAAGATTTGAGTTACAACCAAACAGCAACTTTCGGTTATCTAATCCCCAGACTGCTCTCGAAACTTCGCAGACAAAACAGTTTCATTTGAGACTGAAGTTTCCTTCAAAGCTGCGAGGTGTGGCATCAAATTTGACATTGACATTGAAATGCTTTTCAGAGACTCCTCACGCGCTCAAAAACTAAAAGATGTTTATGCGACACACGGCTAATGGGAGGGGCGGCTCTGGGCTAGGCCCAGGAATTTTTTAACTACGCCGCAGCAGCCGCTCCCCATGCCCAAAACCCGTTTCAAATTCCAATCGCTTTTTTGGTTATTCAACCTAAAACATTTGTGTGCAAATTGCGTGCCGTGCATGGCCGGCAGCAAGCCAATTTCACTGCTCAATTTTAATTACCAACAATTTGAGAGTTATTAAACTTAACAACGAACCACAAACATAAATGTTTAATGGGCCCAATTTTGATGAACTGCCTGGCCGCTCTGCCGCCGCATTGTCAAGTTCAAGTTGGCTTTAATTATGCAATGGCCGCAGCACTCGGCACTCGGCATTCGGCACTCGCTTTCGCACTTATTCAGGCTTGAATGCGCGAAAAGCCAAAGCTGCCTGCCAGCCCCGCTAATCACGGCGATAAACAATTTAGCGTTCCAAAGATTTCCGAACAAAAAAAACCAAGGCACACACAATAAATTTCCGCATTTTGTTACGTTGTGCTGTGACTTTTGATTATTTTGTTTTGTTTTTATTTTCTCGTGTTGCATTCGCTGCTGCTGCTGCTGCTGCTGGCTGCGGTTTGGTATCGAAAACTAACACCAACCGCAGCAGCGGCGGCGGCAAAAAAAGAATGTGGCAAAAGACATACAATATAAATTTTGCCATTTCGCCATTGCCACACACCAGGCAGGCAGGCACACAACACAACACAACACAACACAACACAGACAACAGCGAGTCACGCTTGAAAAGTTTTTATTTTTGTGGCAACAAAATCAAATGAAAAGGGCCGCAACAGACATCGGCAGGGAGTCGTCGGGTGGCAGGAATATTGTATGGGTTGCATTAGGGGCAGCTACACTCTACGGCTATCTATGGTGATTTATGGTGTGTGGGGGTGTGTAGGGGGGAGGGGCAAGGCAACAAGGAAAGCCAACCAACGCTTTTAAAACTCAATTTGCATGCCACTTTTGGGTGGGCCAAATCAAATTTTCAAATGCTGCAGCGTCGATGCGTTAAATTTGAATAAAAAGCCAAAAGAAAAAACAGCAAAGAAATCTCTCAGCGATAGTAAATGCATGTAAATGCCAGCGAAAAGCGTTTAAGACGCATTCTTTCAGCTAAACGGATTTATTGCTCAATATATTGTATGACGAGCCAGAAAACTATTGGCAATGACGCANNNNTTGGGCACTCAACGAAGCGACTCTTTGGCTGCCACCACAAGAGCCATAGACAAACAATAGACAAGCAATTGAAACGCAGATTAACCTACATACGATACGGCACCGGCAACAGTGTAGGGTAAATATTTAAATATCATTACGATGTTGTCGGTTGTATGCAAAAACTGTTTTTGGAAACAGCCAACAGCGGCAACATTTGGCGGAAATGCTACACTGTTGTTGGTGGTGCTGCTAAGTAAATACCAGCCACAGACAGGCCCGGCCAGGCAGGGCTAAGACTCCAACGAAACGTGCTTAAATGTCAGCAATTTTCTTGATTTATATGGCGGCAGTGTCTTGGCAGACAACAACAAACCCAACACAAGCGATAAAAGCAGCAACACTTTTGTGAATGTGCCACAGGCAAATGATAGATACATACTTGTACCTACAAGTGCCACCACACACAGAGGCACAGAAAAACACCTTGCTGCATGGGCTGTGATTGCAACTCGCTGTGGAGGCGATTATGAGTCTTCACCTGAGGTGGCCATAATGTGAATGAGACACAGGTCCTTCAGCATTCTGTTTGCTGGAATGCCAAAGGCAGAAAGAAGCCCCACTCCGCTTCCGGTCAGCCCTGGCTGGGGTTCAATGCTCCGCCGCTTGATACTCGTATTTATTGCCTGACAACTGAGTTGCTCGGCATGCAATGAAAATTTGTCATCATTTGTCATGATTGAAGACTTGAAGAATTTATGCAGCGGAGCAGTTAGAAAGGAATCAAATGGCAATCGATTGTGTTTCCCATCTAATTATACAAAAATCCTTTTGAATTATTGAACATGTTTCTGTACCAATTTACAAATTGTTCATTTTCAATTATGAATTCATTTGTTTTTACAACGCACAACGCAGCAGCAAAACACTCGCAGCATTCGCATCTTGACAGTGTCTGTCATTTAAGTGAAACATAAATTAATTTCAATATGCAATCTGTAACAAGTTTTTTGCACCGACTGATAGGGCTACTTAATAATAAGGTTTGTGTGTCTGTTGTGTATACATTTTTGGTTAATTAAATGATTATGTTAATGGACGAGCGGATGTACAAATGATAAACAACAATGACAGCACCACAGCACCACAGCAGAGCTTGCCACCAGCGGGTGGCAGGTTGGGTGGGCCTAATGGTGCGCAATCAACCAGAAAGACCAATACAAATGTCGGTCGAACTGTTGAAATGTCAATAAAAATGCATTATTTAAATGCCCACGCAGAGAGGGAGACAGCATCCACACAAACTCTCCAATAACATTCCCATTGTTTGCGCAAGAAAAAAATTAATTAAACGCTCAGCGCACTGATAGATAAAACAATTATTGCCAAACAGTAAATTAAATAAAATGTCTAACTAGAGCTTTTATGTATAAATAATCACGTGGTGGCACAGTTTGAGATTCGCTTGCCATTCCCACTATTAAATTCCATTGAAAGGTGTGCCAAAGCGAACAAAAGACGCCGACTCCGGCTCCGGCTCCGTCTCCGGCTAGACTGGGTTAGTAGTTGATCTAGAATCCAGCTAAACCGGTTCCCTAGAATATGCTTTTGCTTTTGCTTTTGCTTTCGTTTTCATTTTGATTATAGCCGCGATGTTATGTCATGAGTTGATTTGCTGATATAACCAGAAATCGGTAGCCTTTGGGTGGCGTTAAGGCATGTTGCGCCATACGTAATTGTTAAGATAACATGTGTGAGGTGTGTGTGGGAGGGTACTTGCCCTCTTACACATGTATCATAGATGTACACACAATGGCAAGTGCACAATCATCAGATTGGGCCGAGGGCCAGGTGTGCGAACGCATTAGGGCCGCGGCTGCGGTCCGTTTCTGTGGCTGCATTGTGGCACTTCTGTTGGATTGCACTTTTTCCGCACAGTTGCAGATGCAGCGCCCAAGGCAAACTGAATTATTAGGGCCAGCTAAGTGCTTGGGAATGTCTCTCCGCGGTCCAGCCACACAACATTTGGCTGCAAAAAAATGCAAAAATAAATACGTTAAAAATCTGAAACTAAAGCTCATTTAAATACCTTGAAAGTGGGAGAAACAATTACAATAAACAAATGCAAAACGCGAGACAACATTCCAAGCTGCGGCTAAATGACAGCATTTATTTTTGGTAACAAATAAATACGCAGCGAAAACAACAATTTTTAATTAAAGTTTATGTATAATTTGATCGATGGCACACAGATTTTGATTTATTCGAGAGTCGAGTTTGATATTTGATTAGTTTACACACACACACAGTCGCAGCATGAATATTACATGTTTGTTTGTTGTTTGTTGTTGTTTGCTTGTGCCATGATTTCTTTTTTCTCCCTGCCCCTGCCCCCTTGCAATTGTTGCATTCACGCGGCTGCCCCTGGCCGGCCCCAGGGTGCTCTGGCAATTGATGCCTCGCTTTTGATTGAACATTGGAAATGAAACGTGACCGCAATGCTGTGCGGCTTCGCAATTAGATTATCACACATGGGGCAGGGGGCAGGGGTGCTGGAGTGCTGGGATTATTCACCCATTTTGTTCATTTTGTCAGGAATTTCTCTTTCAATGCCAGACTGCGCGTCGGTAATTATTTTTTGACGCTGCCATTTGATTTTTCGCATGTGGAGAATACATTTGCAGTGCCTGGCAGGCGCATACCGCATTAGTTAGTTGTACAAATGCAATTTAGTTCGTTACGCTCTGCGGTTGCATTGAGCTGAGCCGCCACTGCCACTGAGCAGCAGATAATGAGAGACAGAGAGAGAGAGAGAGAGAGCGGGAGAGGGGAGAGATTGAGTCCCACAATAAGTCCTTGGTGGCGCGTTTCAGGTGCTTCAACTCTCTGCTCCCTGTGCCTCGCTGTAATTTCATATCCACCAAAAAAAGACAAGCAAAAGTACGTAAAAACGAAGCAAAAGTAAATGCAGTTGGCCCTGAGCTGTCAACAATCCGTGTGTCCATGTGTGTGTCTGTGCTGAAAGTTGCCTTCCAGATTCATTGGCAACCGTCGTCTCCATGTCGCCTCTCTCTCTCTCTCTCTGCCAGACGTCAGACTTTTTAAAGTGAATGCCTTTTGGGCAAGATGACAAATGGCTGGGCTCATCATCATCATCATCATCATCATCTTGGCACTCATAATGATGCCAGCCATAGCGTGTGTGTATCTGCATGATAGGACTTCCCATTGCCACTCCTTGGACACTTTTTGGCTGTAATTTTTCAGCCCAAGTGAGTGCAAATTTTCGACCTATGCTCACCTGCATTTTCCTTCCCTTACAGCTGCGGCCCAACAGAGCTTTAAGTGTCCCGATGACTTTGGCTTCTATCCACACGACACTTCGTGCGACAAATACTGGAAGTGTGACAATGGCGTCTCCGAGCTGAAGACCTGCGGCAATGGCCTGGCCTTCGATGCCTCCGACTCGAAATACCTCACCGAGAACTGCGATTATCTGCACAATGTGGAGTGCGGCGAGCGCACAGAGCTGGGTGAGTTTCGACACACAAAACCCCGAAGAAATGGCAGAAATATATTTCTAATTTTGTGCACGCAGAACCCCCAATCACCACTCCCCACTGCTCGCGCCTGTATGGCATCTTCCCCGATGAGAACAAGTGTGATGTGTTCTGGAACTGCTGGAACGGCGAACCCTCCAGATATCAGTGCTCCCCCGGCCTGGCCTACGATCGCGATGCACGCGTCTGCATGTGGGCCGATCAGGTGCCCGAGTGCAAGAACGAAGGTGAGTCGGGGATCACATAACACCCAGAAGAGTGGTTTATTAATGGGTTTATCCTTTTGCAGAGGTTGCCAATGGCTTTGCCTGCCCCGCTGCCGGTGAGATTGCGAATGCTGGCTCCTTCTCGCGTCACGCACATCCCGAGGACTGCCGCAAGTACTACATCTGCCTGGAGGGTGTGGCACGCGAATATGGCTGCCCCATTGGCACTGTGTTCAAGATTGGCGACAGCGATGGCACTGGCAACTGCGAGGATCCCGAGGATGTTCCCGGCTGGTAAGTTTTTGGGCACATATTTGCTTGATTTACTCTTAGGCTCTAGCACCTGGTTTTGTCGATTTGTTTTGCTTTGGGAGCGCTGTTTGAGTTTTGAGTTTGTTTTTTTCTTTCTGGCCACGCTTGCACCAACCAAACCCTACGCGACACGTGACACGAGACACGAGACACTAGACACACGACACACAACACTCTACATGCCACATTCTTTGCACAGCCCACACCTTTGACTCTGTCTGTCTGTCACACACTCTCTGCCACTCTGCCACTCACTCACCCACTGCATACAGATCATACATATCCTTATCTCCATTATCTCTCTCTCTCTCTCACTCTCTTGGCCTATTTCTGACAATATCTCCTTACCTGGGATCTCCTTTTTGCCTTTACAATTGCAGCGAAGACTACTATGGCGATCTGGATTTGAAGAGCATCCGCAAGAGCGAGCTTCTAGCTGGATTGAACAGTGAAGGTCGCACCAAGGGCGCGTCCAAAACCAAAGCAGCCTCCTCCTCCTCCTCATAAACATAAATAATAATTAACTAAACAACAACAACAACAACAACAACAAAGCAACTACAACAACAACAACTACAATACAACAACAAGATCAATCCAATTCTTTCACCAATTTCCAAGCCACTCCTAACTTCTGTCACATCACAAAAAGAATACTCAGACCCGCCCCAAGTCCTCAACTCCAAGTCCTGCCATTTTTCGTACTTCTCCCTCGCCCCTCCCCACTATTTCTATTTATAACTCTCTTTTCCGCCAACATTTTCCGAGTCCACAAAAACATTTGATACAACATTTTGACCGACAGATAAACAAAGAAGTAAAAAAAACAACATCGAGGAATGAAAGAATCCTTTCCTTAAAATTTAGAGATTTGTACATTTTAAGTGATCCTTGTTTATAAGCTTATAATTTTATTTTATACATAAAAAAGACAAAAAACAAAAAATATATATAAAAACAAAACAAAACCCATCGATTTTTGCCTGCAACATTTAACGTAACATTTACTGATCCCTTAGGCCCCGACCACAACTTAAAGTGCGCTCCTCAAGCCAAAATGAAAATAATAATTTAAAAAGAACTTTGCTGGCTCGTAAATGATTTACAATTTGCGGTCCATGTGTGTGTGTGTGTGTGTGTGCTGTAGATTTTTTGTGTGTAAATAATAAGTAAACATAAAAGTTTGCCCGAGCCACAGAGTCGTGTATGAAAAGTTGGCTCTCCGCATTCCGACCAGGAAGTCTTTTGCCAATGTCGCCGCTGACGTCTTTTCAAATGCACAAGAACTTTGTTAATTATTCATTAGATTCTATAAACAAAAACGCGATACAAAAACTTTAAATGAATTTTCAAATTATCAACACAATTGCAGGCAGAACCAGAAAACACACACACACACATACAGTAGAGTAAAGGCTCCTAGAAAGGACACTGGCACCTCGATAAAGGGAGGGAAAGGCTTGGGACAAGGGCATGGGCATGGCTTCGTTCCGAACTAACTCATAAAAGCTGGCAACTTTAACGTTCGCTGCTCGGCATTTGCCAGAAAGGGTACAGCGAATGGGTCTCAGTGTGTGTCCTTGTATGGGTGAACCTGTGCTTGTGTTGGTGCATTTATGGCTCTCGCACACACACACACACACACACATACACGCTGGCAGAAAAGTTTTAAAACTAATTAAATAAAAATTATAAAACTATACAAACTCCAGGCACAAGTTGTCGCCGGCTAAAGGACATTTTCTGCTGTGTTCTATGTGTGTGTGTGTGGCTTTGTATGTGTGTGTCCGTGCTGCTCTTAAGCTCCTTTTTTTTGGCAACGCAAAGCCGCGTAAAGAGCTCTCACATTTTTGGTGCAAATACGAGAAGCATAAAGCGGGGAGTCGAGTCAGTCGCCACTGCAACCAAACCATTCAGTTTTTGACATTGCTGCGGGCTCAGCTCTTAATGCCACTCTGCCACACACACACACAACCGCTGGATGTCATCTTTTACTTAAATAACCTTTAGAGAGCTAGAGAGAGAGAGCTCTCTATCTGTCTCTGCGGTTGTTGTTTCTCCTGCAACAAGAATGCAATCTTCAATTAAAAGTTGTTGGCCCGCTTCCACGCGGGTCAGCGCAACAAATCCTTTGGTTTCCTGTGAGCTCTGATTATGTTTGAACCCCACAGTTGAGAGAGAGAGAGAGAGAGCAACGCACATAAAAGTATCTTATAAACAGAAATGATTAAACAGAAAACAAAGTTACACAACTGTCCATGGCCAGAGCCACAGGGCAGACGGAGAGACGCAGACTCTGACTTTGAGTTCGACTCTGACCGAGTCAGAGACCACCCTGATAAGCAATATAATCCCTTTAACATTTTGACTCTAATTAATTTTAATGACGAAATAAACGCCCAGCAAGCACATAAAACTAGAGCGCAGGTTGCTGGGTGGTGCGGGCAAAAAGTTATGAGCCGGCAACTGCTTGTCAATACGAGTAGGGCAGTGGGGCGGGGCTCAAACTGGAACTTAAATAAAAGAAAAACAATTTCGGTCTACTTAACAAGAGCCATATTTTGCAGATCCCGCTGCCAAGCCCTCATAGTTGTGGGGACTCTTGCCACTCCCTCATCATCTTTCCGCGCATCTTCATCACTCGCAGGAATAAGCCGCAACATTTATGGCGGTGACTTCTCAACAAGAACAGCGCCCAAGTCCAAGTCGTTGCTCAGAGCGCTGTCCTTGGGTTTTGGTCAATTCCATTTAATTGAATTTAATAGCCTTGCGCTTTTTGTCATTCGCCGCGCACACAGCGCGCATTTTATATGAGAAACTGAGCCATGGAGGGGCAGGGTCTAGGGATTGGGAGTTGGCCATGGCCACATATATGGCACCATGTCCTGCAGGCAAGCGGCGTGCTTTCGCTTCGTACTTGTCCTTGTGCTCTGCGCTTTAAAGGCAATTTGTTGTTCGCTGATAATGTTGTTATTGCGGCCACCCAACAGCTAGCGTCTTTTAATCCTTGACGTCCTGTTGCTTTTCGCTATTCCATTTTATCTGGACCCGGCCACAAATCCTTGTGTGCACGAGCGCCCAGCCAGCCCTTGTCCTGCCACGGCTCGTAACAAGATTTTAACAATATTATTTTTAATTACGCTTTTAATAAATATTTCCTTTGTCAATTTACAACACAAACCAAGTGCCGGCCCTTGCGACATCCCAGAAAAAAAGGAAAGGGAAAAAGGGGAAAAAATGAAACAGAAGTTGCTCGCAGCAAAAAAATATTGTATCATGGAGTAAAACAAATTCCTTGAGCTACCTAATCACATTTTGTCGACTTGTTAACCAAGTTCCGACTGCACACACCCACAGTCACTCGTACTCATCAGGCAAATTCCTCAGAGCGTGACTGGCAAGAGACAAAACAATTTAATTAAACAAATCAGAGCCAAGCCAGAGCCAGAGTCAGAGAGAATAAAATTTGCCCCCGTTTGAGTGCTGCAAGGAATTTATATATATTTATTTTAATACTCTTCCTGTTTCTGCTTTTTACAGCGAGGATTACTACGGCGATGTAGACTTGAAGGCACTGAAAAAATTGGGCTTTTAAAAATACACACAGCACCCACACACACGCACACACGCACACACACACAAGTCACAGCAAAGGTTTGAGGCCTGAAAGTCAATGCCAGGCAGAGCAAAGGAGCAGCAGCCAGCCAGCCAGCCAGCCAGCCCGTAGCAAAAGGATGGATCAGAAGGAAAAACCACAACAACAGTGGGCTTAAAATGCTTGCCACACACACACAGAGGAGAGCTGCCACAAGCGTTAAAGTATGCACACAGAATATACACAAGAATCGTACACACAGTTTGACTTTAAAGACTGAGCACAAAAAAAAACACACAGAGACACACACTCCAAATGAAGAAATAGTCGAGGCCAGCCAAAAGGCCACAAAGTAATAACGCTTGACCCCGCCACATAGTCAATTATATTTTGGTTCTGGTTTCAAATCTAAGAGTGGAAGCCCCATGGTCAGGATGCTCCTTTGATGAGGCAGCCAACGAAGTTCCGCGAATTCCACAACTTACCACAAGAAGTCAAATTTAACTTATTTAACTAAAATACTCAGAAACCGCAGCACATGCATACCGCGCTCACGCTATAATAACTTCAATTGTATTGTACATATACTCTAGAGATTCAGTTTTAAGCTTTAAGTTTTTGCAAACATACATTTTGCATGGAAAAACTTTAAGAAATTTGCAGTTTTACTTCAGGGAAGTTCTGGCAAAAAGGGAATTAAAGTGAGTATCAGGGTGCAAGCCATTTATTTCATTGCTAATCTGCTGCACAACAATCGATATTTGTGGGTTTTCTTCATGTGTTTTAATCAAATGTTTCGAATATTTCATGCGCTCGCTGATGCTGGGCAGTTTTCGAAAATTTCTACAATTTCTTGTACACAATTTACTAAGCCAGAAGAACAAAAACAACAAGTCCAACTACTGCCACTGCCACTGCCACTGCCACTGCTGCTATGGCAGTTTGAGTTTGCTAAAGCTGACCGCATAAACACAACACGCATACGCACTGTTTGCCAAGCAAATGGCAAACAAAATGCCTTTAAACCCAAAAAAACAAGTAAATAAACTCAGCAGCACACACAATATATACAGCACGCACACACAAACAGACACACAGAAAATTGATAATTATTGAAAAGCTGAGAGTCGAAGCTGCCTGCCTGCCAGCAGGGGCTGTGTGGGGGGGGTGTGCAAAAGGGCAAACTATAACGATGCACAAGTGCAACATTAGCCTATGAAAAGATTGAAAAGCATCAGCAGGCAGCACTACACACAGTGGGGGGGGGGAACAAAGGACAAGCAGCAGGCTGCAACTATGCAACTATGCAACGAGAAAGACATGCTGTTGCATGTTAATTGAAATCAATAAGTGGAACACAGACACACACAGAGAGCAGCCTGGACATTGGTGTACACTCAATATGTAGCTGTCGAGCTGTGTGTCTGTGTGGTTACAATGGCGGCCAGAGAGACACAGAGGCAGAATAGGAGTCAGAGCCAGTGCCACAGCAGCAACAACACAATGGTTAGTTATCGAAGTAAATGTGGTAAAGTAAATTATTTGCCCAACGGCTAATGACAACAGCAACTTGCAACATGCAGCGCCGCTGGTGAGGCACCATTTGCCAGCAGCTCTGTCCCTCTCCCTTCCTCTCACATATCCCTTTTTTATTTATTATTTAGGCAGATGGCAGTTGCATTTTTCTCCATTTGCCAGCTGCTGCTGCTGCCGCTGCTGCTACATTAGTTGTGGACCTGCCCAGCACCTAAATTATGCATTGTTATTTTTAGAATATTTGTACCTAAGCGCCCCACGCCCCACGCCCTGCCCGTTGTCCGTTCCGTTTCGTTGCTGTCTTGCCTTGGCTAGACCGGACGGCCCTTTCCTGGGCAGCAGCGACGTGATGGCAATTACTCCAACTCCGACACCCAACACGAGGAGACTCTGGGCCACACGGGCCACACAGCAACAACAACTGCCGCAATGCAGTCGCATGTAGTTGCTGCTGCAAATGGCTCGTATAACGTGCAAAAACTGCAACTGCAACAACAAAGCAAAACAAGGAGCAGCAGCAGAGGCAATAGCAGCAGCAATACACGGCAAATGGCAGCAAAGAAAATTATGCCAGCAATAACATTTACATGTCTGCGTGTCCGAGCACTACTCGTATCTCTGTGTGCATAAGTGTGTGCCAAATTTATACGCCAACACAAGTCGCTTGTGGCAGAGGGGGAGAGGTCACAGTTTTCATTTCCAAACACTTGTCCGGTGGCTCCACAAAATTATAGAAACGAGAATAAACAGCGCGTGGAGCTGGCAGCGTAATCAAGATAAGTGCTGTCCATTCAAGGCATTCATACTAAAAGTAGAGCCAAACGGATGATATTTCAGAGTGAAGCCAACTGATATTCAAAGTCAATCAATTGGCTCTCAAGCAGCACAAAGAGCCAACAACTTTTGCCTTCAATAAGCCTCAATAACTTTGATGTAATTTATAAATATAAAATAAACGCCACATAAAGTCCATAAATGGCATATAAACCGCTGCCCAATTGAAGTGTGGTTGGAGTAGCTTTAATAATTACTTTAAAGACTTAAACTCTCTACCTGCTACTGCCAGCACTTGCCTGTCAAGTCTTAGTCATTGGTCATCAATGCCAGGAACGGCCCGAGCCCGGTCCGTGCTTGATTCAATAAAAATTGGCTTCCTCTTGGCCATTGTTAAGCGGGCCACTAATGCGGCACCGTTGGCAAGTACTTTTACCGAAGCGAGCACACAAAAAAAAAGGCTTCAGGGCTGCAAGTCGACGCTCAAGGGGCGGTCTACTTCAGTGATACGGGTACTGCTTGGACTGCTTCTTCCACTGCTTCTTCCACTGCTTCTTCTACTGCTTTTTCTACTGCTCCCATTCCTAATATTCCTGCCACGCGAAATGCAATGACAATGTTCGGTTGGTGCTGCCTCTGGCTGGCTGGCTGCTGTTCGATGTTCAATGTGCTTCATGACAACGGCGTCCAGGCCAGGCATTGCTTATTTTTATTTGCCTGGCCAGGACTAATGCCCCAGCGCAGAGCAACAGCAACAGCAACAGCAGCAGCAGCAGCATGCAATGCGCTCTAACGCCCTTATCCTTGTAACGACTTTGGCGTTGCCATTCCCATTCCCTTTCCCTTTTCCTGCCCTCTTTGCTGTTGCTGCCACGATGGCTGCTGCGCTTTTGCGGTTGACCGCATTTGCTCGGGAAAAATCTGTTGCTGCCAAAGTATTGGCCACTCGCTCTTGACCGAGTGAAGCTATAAATATCTGCGATAGCGAAATGCAATTACGTGGCAACAATGAATACAGCGGCAGCAGCAGCAGCAGCAGCAGCGATTGCTCTCCCCACACTTGGACCTATAGCCAGCCCCCACATCCGGCAATTGACAATGATGATGTGTACGTAGTTTTTGTCTTCTAGTGCGGGGGGGGACATGGCATTTTTCTACAACATTTTGCTGCATTGTTGGGCGCTCGCTCAAGGAGCGATACACGCGATGGTCGTGGCTCGAGCATTGGCTACGCTTTTTGCTGAATTTATGTGCTGCTCGTGTAAAGTTCAATGCTGTCTAACATAAAATACTGAAACGGACAACGCAACGCATCGAGCATGAGAGCACCAAGGGTTCTGTCACACAAATATAATCCATAGAAGAATTTTGATCAACTTACGAGTCTGCCTTGAGAGTGCAGAGGAGCTGCCTCCTAATGATCCCATGAGACTTTATTTACTTGGGACCCGTAAGAGCCTGCCTCCCTGCCGCCTGGTCATCTGGCAAATAATGGACCACCGCCACAAAGTAATTGCCAGATAGAGAGAGAGAGAGAGAGAGAGCAGCACTCCACTCGGCTCTGCCTAACAATAGCCCACAGGTCGCTGCCGCTGGCTATTAACTCAACGCATACCGAAAATAGTCGAGGCGCACATTCCGGTGGGTCAGCTCTCCGTCCGATCTCCCCTGCACCTACAAACTGTGGCCATAAAAATGGCAATTTTTCCAGTTGTCAGCGGCAAATGCGTCGTGGCTTAAGTTACGGCGATTGGCTGACAGTTGACACCCCAGACCCAGACGCATAATTACATTCCCGAGTCCCCGAGTCCCCGAGTCCGTGGGTGCCTGGTCCTGCCACAGCAATTGTAAGTCATTTGAAAACAATTTTGATTATATTTTTTCCAAACGATTTCACAAATCCGCTTTATGCCATAGCCACAGCCACAGCTACAGCTACAGCTACAGCACCAGTGCCTGCCACAGCTCCTGTCCCAAATCAGAGTAGAGAACGGAGAAAAAAGTGCGTTTTGCGTATGGGTAGTTAACAACATGACTCCCCCAATAATAATAACATACATTTGCAGCGTTTTTGCCAGCTTTTCTTCCGCCTTATACATGGCCCTGCCAAAATAAATGTTTGGCTGTAAACGACCTTAAAAAAAAACACGAAAGCCGAAACGAGGCTGGGGCTGAGGCTGGGCCGCAAAAACAAACAGAAATGCCGGCACACAAATAAAATCAAAAGGAAAGACCGAACCTGCTTGCTATTCCAATTTTTTGTGAGGTTTTTGTACCTTAGCAAAAGGTACCTTAGTTTTGAGCAGATGGTTGGCCAAAAAGGGGTTTTGACCCCTTGGAGTTTGGAGTAACAAATTTTGTAGACAACAATCAAAGCGTTCCCAGAGTCTTACTCGTAATTAGACTTAATCAGGCATGAGGCATAAAGAGTAGCCACAAGGTCGATGCTGGATTTCGGTTGCTTCGTTTGCCAGCACGCTTGTCGAGGCAAATTTGCGAGTAACAAGCAAAAGTTCAGGCAGGCTGTAGCAAACAAAAAAATACCCCCCAGAAATGTGCGTAGCATTAGCCGTAGTCGACTTGATTTTGATCGCTTCAATGAACATTAATACACTGGGGGAAAGGGCGCATCTGGGCATGGGACGGGTGCAGGTTTGGGGTTGCTTAAGTAGGCGTACACTGCTTGCTTTTATTTAAGTTTTATTTGAACCAGCAAGCAGTGGCCGCTAACTACCTTTCGGCAGGAAGTCTATTAATGGTTTCTTAGCAAGTAGAAATTATACAGGATATTAAAAACCAAAAACAACCCGGGATCAGCAGCTTAGCATCAGCATCCACAGTTGCCCATCAAATGGGTGCCTTAGCTGCAGCGCTTTACGAGCATTCATATGTGTATTTATCTAATATAGAGCCGCTGCCTGAAAGACACGGCCCCTGCCCTGCTACACTCCAAAATATTTTGTTATTTTTTCTGCGAGACATTGCGTTTGCTTGGCAAATGAAGCCTACTTATAGGGGATCTTGATTTGGCAGTGCGTAAACATTACCCCCCCTCCCCAACCCGCACGTGTGTGTGCTCGTGTGGGTTTGTGTGGGGCTTATTTCCGGCGTGGCATATCTCGTTTTAGATGCCATGCCAGAGCAATCTCTTTTGTGTTGCGTTTCGCTTTTTCCTGTCATAAATGCTGCCGCCGAACCTTTGTTACGTTTCCGTTTCACTTTTATTTTAATAATTCACCCAGCATTTATGGTATGTACACACATACTTTTATTTACAAGTGCCTTGCCACACGCCCTGCCCTGCCCACCTGCCCACCTGCCCAGCCCATCCGCCAACATCCCATTGTACACGTCATAAATCTCATTTTTTCCGCTTCCGCTTCTGGCGCCCGTGCTGCTTACAATATATGGTTGGGGTTGGGGTTGGGGTTGGGGTTGGTTGTTGGCGCTGGCCATGGCCCATCAATGTAAATTAAATAATTGCTAGAAATCTACGCAAAAGTGCTCGCAGCAGGACTATCATCCCTTTGATATAATTCCATCTTGAATCTCCTGGCAACAAGTGCAATTTACCAAACTCCACTTCCAGGCCGTTAGCCCAATTTTCAAATCGTTAAAAATTAAACTGAAAAATTGCCCCTCAAAAAAGTCCTTGCTCTTTCCTTTGTGCCCCAATCTGAGTGAGTTTTTCTGCCGCGTCTCTTATACTTCCATTCAGCGGAAATTTCCCTGCGCGTAAAGAGTAAATTTCCCTTAAATGACAGCGCGACTGGAAGGCGCTCAGTGAGTGCTTTTCTCTCTCTTTTTGCTTCCCTGCGCTGTGGTACTTTTTCTCTTTTGTCATAAAATAGACTTTGCTGCCGTGTGCTGTGGCTGCGTGGAAACATTTGTGGCCTACAATTGTACGAGACTTTGGGCGCTTTAGTGGGTGAAAGGTTTGGTGGCAGGTGCCTGATTTCCGACCTGCCCTCCCACACAATTGCCAGCACATTACGTGGGGGATGTTGGAGTGGAGGCAAAACACACCTGACTGAAGTGGGTTTCCTTCTTAACTGTTCAATTATAATAGTTGAGCATCGATCCATGAAGGGATTGGCATTGGCATTCTCATTTAATTTGTTCTTGTTTCCTTTACCCTGTTTTTTATTAAAAATATTCTGCACATTTGCATTTGTTAATTGGCCTTATTTGCTTTCAAACATGACCAATGGCGGTTGATTATTTTGCTGCTTCCTTTGTTTTCCCCTTCCTTTCTCGACATGGTGACATGGCAGATTGTGTATATATTTTTGGATTTCGATTTCGCTTCACTTTTTGCATACTTAGCGGCTGCGTCCGGCTGCGGCATTTGTTTGTGTGTGTGTCCAGGGGAATGACAAGTGCCCAAAATAAAACACAAAGGAGCAGCACAACAATAGAGAGTGAACTGGAGTGGAGTGGAGTGGCGAGATCCACTCTGGGAAAAAAGTTATGACACACCTACAGCATTTAATCTGACGTCCTTGTAGTGGCTCTCGTACTCTCTGTCTCTTCGTCCCACTGTGAGTGATAACCATCAATCAAGCTGCTGTCTGCCGGCCGGGGGACGCCCTGGTTAGATGGTAGGCGTTACACCGGACGAACACTGGCTTTTGCTGACGGAGTTGCCATTGCTGTAGCCATTGCCATCGCCAGTCCTTTGTCATGGAGGAGTTCATTTCAATCATTAGCGTGCCAAGTCAGGCAGCTCCTGTTGATGCTGTCAAATTAATAAAGAGCACTGCCCGACCAAGGGTTTTGGCTGATTCTATGCCGCCTATGCCTCCCCTCCCCTCCCATTACCAATCCCCCACACGCTTCAAGTCAACGCAGCGTACAGTCCGGACGGCCCCTAGTGCGGCGCTCATAATGCCCATAAAAAATTTGTCATCATTAGCCGAAGCGAATGACGATGACGGCCATGGGTATGGCTTGAGTCTGCTGTTGTGTGGCTGCTGCTAATCTATCAATGTGTGCAGTGTCCTATGTGTGCCCTGTCTGCCGGGAGGACACACTTTAAAAGATTGCCCTGCCTCGGCCCTTTTCTGGTGCATATTAGTCAGGAGCTTAAAGCGTTCGATTGATTGATTATGCGAGGACTTTGGTCAAAGGTTTCGGAGTCGCTTTAAGGCTTTAAGCTGGCCCCCCATTAAGGTTATTAAATGTGCTGCTTTGTTGTGTGAGTCTGTTGGTGTGCGGCTATTAGAAAAGATAATGGATTGCGAATATTAATTTCTTTGCATGCCGAAAAGAATCAGCGTAGAACAATGCGTTTAATCTTTATAGACACGCAGCCATGAGAGTAGAGTAAAGCAGGGCAGGGTAAAGCAGGGCAGTGCGGAGTAAAGCAGGGCAGAAGCAGTGCAGAAGCAGTGCAGAGCTGAGAAAAGTCTGTGGGAGAAAAGCCGAACAAGAGTTGGGAACGGACAATGCGTTGTGCCAATAATGATAACCGGAAGCCATTAAAGGAAGTTTCAATACAAGAAACACACACACACACACGCATGAATAGGCAGCTTGTGGCATGCTGCCCTTCCTTCCGCCCTCTCTCTCTTTCTCTCTCTCTCTGTGTGTGCGTGAGGCTGTTTTTGTTGCTGTGCGCCTCTGTTGTTTGCCTTCCATTCCCACATTGCATCGTGGTCGTCGTCAGCAGCAGCAGCAGCAGCGGCGGCAATATTGTAATTTTTATTCCTCTTTGTGCCATTCATGCGGCAAGGCAAGGAAAGGCAAAGGCGGCATCAGGCGGCACCAGAGGAGCACCAAAAGGAAGCCGAAGCCGAAGCCGAGGCAGCCAGTCGAGCGTTCAATTCCCTTTCAATACGGAAGTGAGTAAAGGTTGGGGGCGATGGCAGTGTCCCGGGCACACGCACCTCGCAATCTTGCTAATGTTTTTTTTCTCTTCAAGCGCGTCTTAAGATTGCCGCCGCCTGCTGCCTGCTGCTTGCTGCCTGCTGCAGTTTGTGCTGGGCAAACAGCCTCCAGGTCGATGCGGAAGTCAAGCAGGAAAACTCAGTGATGATCCGTGCCGTGCCGTGGCTTAGGCTTCTGAGACATGCGGCAGGCGGCATCCACATCCGCAGTGGCAGCATGTTATGCAGCATGTCAGCCAGACAATTGACTTGAAACGCGGAAAGGCCACAGCAGGCAGCACGGGGACAGGGACAGGGACAGGGACAAAGGCTGGGGGCCAACCCATCAATGGCACTCTCGCATTTTCAATTGATTAAACATCAAACACACACACACAACATTTTCGGAATGCGTGTGTGTGTGTGTGTGTGTGAGTGTTTGTGTGTGTATTGCTTGCATTTTTTACGTGCCGCAACGCAAAAATGTCTGAGAATATTATACGAAAAAGCATTATGTTGATATGCCGATATATACTCCGCACAATATGAAATTCCATTGCATTTTATAGGCACACAAAAGCGAGAGAGAGAGAGAGAAAAGGAAAAGGGCAGGGGCAGGGACAGAGGCAGGCAGTAAAAACCTGCGGCAGGCCATTGTGAGGCATAAACAAAAGATTGCAGCAGATGGAAAGGGCGGTGCCGGATCGGCCAGAATAACAAAATACCGCAGACAAAAACCGAAAGCTGTTCGAGCGTGCAAAAAGGTGAGAGAAGGAGCTCCCATCCTCTGGCTTAGGCACGGGTAAAACTACAAGTACAAGTGAGTAGTTTTACGGGGGGTTTGGCCTTTAGAAATGTGGCAAAGTAAAATTTATAGCTTGGAAATTAATAACAAAAGGGCACACAAAGGAGCTGTGTGGGCGTTTGACTAATAACATTCACCGCACTATGAAGTGTATTAGACAACAGTGCGTATGATGAATGCTATCGAAAGAGTCTCTGGCTCTGGCTCTGGCTCTCTCTCTCGACAACAAAAGGCGAATAATTGTGTGGCAAAAAAGAGGAAGACTGATAGAGCTGGCAAAACAAAAGCTGGAACGTATTATTATTGGGTTGCTCGGATAACCCCAGAGCCAAATGGTTTTTCCTTTCCTTTCTGCTCGCTTTCTGCTCTCTTGCACCTGCCTTTGTTTTGCAACAATGTGTGCAGCGAGTTGCCTTTGTTAATATGAATGCATAAATTAAATTAGCTCAGACAACAAGAACTTGAGACGAAATTGCTGCGATTAAAAAATCAATTGCCATTGCTGATAATTAACCCGTAATGTGGATAATTGCAGCCACAACAAATACGAGTATTATGTCCCATATATAAACACAAACCCTGCACATATGCTGCAGTTGCAACAGCTTTGCCATGGAGTCAGTTAACCCCGCCAAGCGCTTTCGTCAGCTAACCAAAAACATCAACGTTTGGACCAATCTCTTGGGCGTTGATGTGCTCGCACCCAAAGTGACATTCAACTATCGCACCTGGACCACAATCTTTGCCATTATCAACTACACGGGCTTCACCATTTTCTCGATGGTGGACAATGGCGGCGATTGGCGTGTGAGCCTCAAAGCCAGTCTCATGTTTGGTGGCCTGTTCCATGGTCTGGGCAAGTTCTTAACCTGCCTGCTGAAGCAGCGCACGATGCGGCGACTCACCTTCTTTGCGTGCAACATTTACGAGGAGTATGAGAAAAAGTCGGCTACTAATTACCGCACACTGGACCTCAACATCGATCGACTGCTGGGATTAATGCGCGGCATACGAAACGGATATATGGCCACGTTCCTGCTCATGACTGTCCTGCCGCTGGCAATGCTCCTGTACGATGGCACGCGGGTCACTGTGATGCAGTACCAGATCCCAGGAATGCCGCTGGAGAGCAACCTGTGCTACTCGATCACCTATCTCATTCATCTGGTGACAATGGGTGTCGCTGGCTGTGGCTTCTATGCGGGCGATTTGTTTGTTCTGCTTGGACTCACACAGATATTGACTTTTGCGGATATTTTACAGCTCAAGGTGGATGAACTTAACGCTGCTTTGGATCGGAAAACCGCCTCAAGGGCTTTGGTTAGCGTGGGTGCGGACATAGAAGGCGAGGAGCAGCGACTGAAGCTGCTCTTGGATGTGATCAAGTGGCATCAGCTGTTTACGGAGTAAAACAAGTCATCAAAAGTGTTACAAAATGTACTTATCAATTTATCCCACAGCTACTGCCGCACTGTCAACGAACTCTACCACGATCTAATCGCCACTCAGGTGCTGTCCATGGCCGTGGCTGTGATGCTCAGCTTTTGCATTATTCTCACCACTTTTCACATGCCATCGGCCATCTACTTTCTGGTCTCTGCCTACAGCATGTCTGTCTATTGTGTGCTGGGCACCAAACTAGAATTTGCAGTTAGTTTTGCCACCTCTAACCCTGATTTTACTTCATTTATTTCAATATGTTTCACAGTATGATCAGGTCTATGAGACCATTTGTGGCGTGGCCTGGCAGGAACTTAGCTGTGACCAACGCAAACTGCTTAACCCACTGCTGCGCGAGGCACAGAATCCGCAGTGCATTAAACTGCTTGGCATACTGCCGCTGTCCGTGCGAACTGCTTTGCAGGCAAGTCAAGCAGTCGAGCTAGCAGAGAGCGTTGGCAGCTAATGCAATTTGTCTTTTGCAGATAATAAAACTCATTTACAGCTTCTCTATGATGATGATGCAGAATCGCACTTAGAACCCGAACGCTGGGCTTAAAGCAATTTTTATCAAATTAATATAAACCCCAGAAATCCCTGCAATATCCGCATAATTTCCATGGAAAAAGAGCTTACATCAATCCAAGTTTGGAAACACTTTCAGCAACGGATTAAACTTTTTTTTGGGTTGAATCTCTCAACCATGATGAGCTCGACCCCTCCCATCGCCCAGCTGTACACACATTAACCTTGGCCACTAATTGCCAACGCACACTGAGGCTGAATTTATGGCAGTAGAGTCAGTCCCTCCCCCCGCTTCGAATGCATTAATTGTGCGTCTCATTAAGAGGGGAGTTCTTATGCAACGCAAAACATTTAATATATACGCATACAAATTTTAATTTATTTTTGAAATGGTTCGCTTCTTGCTGTTTCGCCAGCCAGACATTAATAGCCCCAGGACCCAGGGCCAGGGCCAGGACCAGGCCATGATTAATGCACGTTTTATAAATGTGGTTGGGATAAAAAATAATAATCATTATTGTAACGTTATAATAATGCAGTAGTAATCAAGTGTGCTGTGGCTGTTATTGCTCCTGTCCAATGAACATAAAAAGAGCGAAATGATTTTAATAAAATCAACAGTCAGCAGGTCGACAGCAAGGGGAAGGAACAGCAGGGGGGGCAGGAGCAGCAGCAGCAGCAGCAACAGTTTGGTCAACGCACTCAACGACCTTTTCGGATGCGAAACAAAAACAAGCAACAAGCGCGAAATTTACGAGCATTTCACATTCCATAATTTACTTACTTTTCCATGAGCTATTTAATTATGCTAAATAATGGCCGCAGGGGGGTTGAGTTGAACTTTTTGTTTGCTTATTTATGCCACAATGATCGCAGCGCTGAAAGCCATTCGAAAGTTGAGGCCAAAAGTTAATTGCAAATTGGTGAAATGATTTTATGTTCTACGTAAAACAAACAGCAAAGACAGCAACAACAATCAACACAACATTTTAGCCTATTGAGTTTATAGCCATTAAAATCTAATTGCAGTGTCGATTTCCTTCTGGAATGAGTATTTAATTAATTCAAGTTAAACAAACAAATCAATTGCCGATTCCTAGATAACGCAAAAATGAGCAAGCGCGAATTCGCTCCAGAGCGAACTCCAGGCACGACAACAGCGAATTAAGATCAGAGCGAATTGGGGTGAAGGCGAGCTAAGAACAGAGCAAAGAGCAGATCACGGCGAGAGACACGCCGACAGAGTTTCAATACAGCCTCCGACATAAAAGTATGTGAAAAGAAAACGGACCGCGAGCGACATTCAAATTCTATTTCATCTACAATTTATCTTAAACCACCACATGAGTGTGGCATTTCCTTTATAAATCGTAGCGTGGATGTTTTGAGTTTGAATAAACACAAAAGCTGCTGTTGTGTGCTGCCCCCTTTGAACCTGGACTTTTGGCAGTGCCAACTTAATGTTAAATATGCACAATCTTTCCTCGCCATAAAGTATACTCCACAACGGCGACCCAGCGCAACTCATTGATACTCAGCCCTCAGTCTTTTAGGGGGGAATCATCCTCCCTGCCAGTCTAAGTACACAGCTGCTCAGCGTAATGCGCGTTGGCCGGTGCGACAGGTCTCACAGCCCATCCGGCTGCAGCTTCCGAGGAACACGAGTAATGCAATTTGTTTGCTTGTTGGCGCGCAGATAACAAAACTCATTTACAGCCATGTCCAAGGCACTTCACGGCAGTCGGCAGGCACTCTAACTCAAAGCACTTAACGTCAAATGCAACAACAGCAGCAGCAATACACTTCCTAATTCTTGTTTTGAATCATATTTAGAGACATGCCAGTTCTGACTGAGAGCTGACTGTGGGTGGGGTTGGGGTTGGGGTTGGGGCTGGGGCTCGCCTGGCAAATAAAATAAATTAGCTGCAGTTGAAAGGTGGCTCAGACAGAAGAGTCAACACGCAACGCGAGCGGTTGGAACCGCAAACAAAGCGCCAGCTGTTGGCCACAGATAAAATGGTGAGCAAACAAGCCAAAGGAGAAGCAGAAAGATGGGGAAAGACGGCACCAGGCAGACGTTAGGTTGCTGGTGGAACGATGGCAAATCAGCTGCCAACGCAGTGCAGCTTACTGGCAAATATTAAAATGCGAATTTTTATGCTCGCTGACACTTGCGACCGAGCCAGAGCCAGAGCGCCAGAGCGCCTGAGCGCCAGTGCCGCTCCATCGCCAACGTCTACTTCTTGAAACATAATTCTCACAATGCGGGAACGGGTGATGGGTAGGTGGTTGGGATAGGGGACTGACTGCCTCCTGGCGTATCCTTTGCCAGCATTTTCCTGCCGCGTGCGCACATAAATTAGCTGCCAAGCTAAGAAATGTTTGCGGGCAGCAAAGGTTCCCGGTCGTCCCCCTACTCCACCACCTTTGTTGTCCCAACCGCCCACTGCGGTTTGTTGCGCTCTGTTTATGCGGGTGGAGGTGGCAGGCAGCAGCAGCCACTGCGCCGGGTGCATTAAACCAATAAATCAGCGGGGAGCCACCGCCACTGAAAAAAACATAGTGTTGTCAGGCAGGCAGAGGCGGGCACTCCTCGTTTTGAGGCACCAGCGTCGTCCTGCATATTTAATCAATATGGAGAGCACAAAACAGGAATTAATCTTGCCGCACATTTTTGCACCATCCACATTGGACACCAACAAGCGCCATCCCACGCCACATTCTCCCATCCTTAACGCAAAAAAGGCATTTTTAATTTAGAGAAATTCTTGCGGCCATAAAAAGCATGTCGGGCAAATCAATTAAATTTAAATTGTATCCCATTAGAGGCACATTAAATGAGTTAAGTCATTTGGGCGGGGTGGCAGCCGTAACCGTAACCGCGTGCCGCGTGCCGCGTCTTAGCCTTCGCTTTTATGCGGCTTTGAAAAGGGTACAAATGAATTCATTTTATTTTTTTGACGCACATAAATGCGCCCACCCTTCCGTGCCCCCCATCTACTGCCCGAACACAATTAAAATGCCCACGAGTTACTAATTTGCCATGAAACGGCGGGTGGCGGCAGTCCCAAGCCCAAGCCCAGGACCCCAAACTTTGGCCCAGTCCCAGACTCTGGCGCTGGCGCTAGTCCCCCGAGGCTCCGAATCCCGATTTAAAAAATGTTGCCGAAATTTAAGAGTTGATGGCTATTAATTTATATTATGCATGATTTGTGTAGCATTTTCCTGATGGGACAATCGCTTTAGGCAGGGTCGAGTTGGGTTCACACAAATGTCCCTTCTGCATGCTGCGGTAAATGCCTTTTGCTAGGAGATGTTTGTGCAAAATGAATGAAATATTTGTGTCAACTTTAAATGCTGAAAATACATGCAGGGAGCGAACTTTATTCATGTCTCTGGCTTGACTTGAACTTGCGCATAAATAAATTAGATTAGGCAATCTCGTGTGCTCATGTGTGGGCGTGGCCGCTGCCATCATTTATTAGGCAACGCCCCAGCGCAATGTACGGGCTGTCGCTCGAGATTTGTAGCAGCGACAACGAGCACTATGGACGGGAATGACTGGAGCGATTGGAACGACGACATTACCAGAAAATCTTTTTGCTCATCTGCTGGCTGGCTGGCTGGCTGGCTGGCTGGCCAATTTCTGCTGATGTCTGCAAGCGAAACTTCACGCTGGCCAAGTAATTATCAGCAAGACGGAAATGATAGTCAAGCCCTAGCCCCAGCCCCAGCTCCAGCCCCAGCCAAAGCCGAAGTCGACGTCGAAGCGTTAATGCTGCGTGTCGAAAGCAAAACTTTGATGGCTTAATCACTTTGGCAAGGCAGGGGCAAGCAGTGTAGGGGCAAGCAGTGTGTGTGGGGAGCGAGCGCAAGCAGTGAGTGTGCGGGAGCGCGGGCAAGCAGTGTAGGGGAAAGCTTGCTCCAGTTTTGCCATCAGCTTGTTATGGGGTTTAGGTACAGAGGGGTGCCCGAGCTTGGGTACTTTAAAGTGCACGTGTTTACCAGACGTGGTCTTAAGATGCGACTTCAAAAAACATGTCTCCTCCGTGCGGATGCATTTGGGGGTGGACCCACACTCGGCACTCGGTGCACAGTCAAAGTCATAAAACCATTTAATTATATTAAACTTTTAATTGCGTAGACAGCTACGAAACATACCCACACACAGACACAACCGCAACACACACACCTCAAAGCAACTCCCAGCATATGCGGGTGGCACGGAGGTGGCACGAAGGTAGCAGCCAGGACTGGCAGCGCCACACTTAACCGTTGCAAGTTGCTGCTGCTGCTGCTGCTGCTGGGTGCTACTTCTTGTTCAGCTTCTCCTTGAGCGTGTCTTGCTACTATGTAAATGCAATAATAAAGTTATTAAAAGTGTCATAACAACTCAAGTTCGGAATAGCAGAAACTTTTCAACAGTTTCTTGCTGTATGGTGGGGGCACCAGAAGCACCTCCCCCAGCTGCTGAGGGTGGGCAACAAAAAGAAGTTCATAAAGAATCGAATAACGAAGGCGACCCGCAGCTCCCGTGGCCAGGCAATTGATGTTTAATTGATCAATTAGTTGCTGCCTTGCACAAAAGCCCACCCACAAAACGCACACACAGACGCACATGCCCCTATGTGTGTCTCTCTGTCTGTCTCTCTGTCTATTTGCTGTATTGGAATTGCCCACATCAAAGCGGCATATAAGTATATTGACGCTCATCAATCAAATTGATTTATGCCAACAAATCATTCATGAGCAATTTCCCAAAGTGATTATCTCTCCACGAGAGCAGAGAGTCGAGAGCATGCCATGGCCAACGAGGCAACGGGTCCCATACCAAAAACTAAAGCTACGGAAAGGCATGTTAACTGACAGCCAGAAGGACATTTGGCAAGACACACACACACATCCACATAGTCGAAGGGAAACTGTGACTGAGACAGAGACAGAGCCAGAGGCAGAGACACAGAGCGACTGCGGCACACAGTCAGATTCAGCTTCAGCTTCAGTGGCAGTTCTATAGCCTGTGCCATT